TTTTTTTTTTTTTTTTTTTTTGTTCTCCGCTGGTGACTCTCCTTGTGTCAGTGCAGTTGAGAGTCTGGCGCACCATCTGCATGGTGGCTGTGACTACTGCTGTAGCGACTAGAGGCTTTTGCGGCAGCCATGGCAATTGTGGTGGCTATGGTGGGCTACCCACGTGGAAATGGTGTTTTTGGTATGCTCTTTACCTGGTTGTGGCTGAGTTTGGCTTCCCCCCACTCCTGCCTCAGGACCTGGGCAAGGTCCTGGGGTGGTGGCAGCAGCATGCCTGGTTGCAGCTGGGCTCAGCTTCTCTGTTTAAACCTCATTCTCCAAGCCCCAGAAGTTGATGAACTCTAATTGAGACTCTCTGGCTTGAGATTTGAATTCTGTGCAACTCCAAATAAGTTATTCAACCTCTGTAAACTCTAGTTTGCTTTATTGTAGAATACAGACTATACTGTTCCATCTTCCTCACAGTGTTGTTGTAAGTATTAAATGGTGCTTACCACAATCACTTGATAAATGGTAGTTCTATTATTATTATTACATTTGAAAATTAGCATCTGTTTATTTGTAAACTTCTGGAGTCCATGACTTTTTAATATTTGTATCTCTTATATCTAGCCTAGAGTCTAATATACAATTGTGATTCACTGTTTGCTAAATCGAATGAAACATAAATATCCCACCAAAAGGAAAACAGATGTATTCAGCAGTGGAACACCAGAAGGGGAACCAAAAGGGAAAATAAAAAGGGGAAATGGAAAGGTTTGTTGAGGGTATTGAAGACTGACTGTGCCTGCCTGAGTCTCTCAAGCTAAATGAGCCTTCTTTTCCGGGCCTCAGTCTTGCTCCCCTCTGCTTGGTCTTATGCTGTGCCAGATAGGCCATCTGGGCCTAGACGTAAGAGAACATTCTTTCATTGTTTCTCTAATAGGCTCAGCATTGATAAACCCAACTTTTGTGATTAAATTGTACTGGGTGCTAAGTTTTCCATTGTCTGTTGTGCTAGAGATAGCAGTCGAGGCCTCTAAGTGCTGTGTAATCTAAGGTTATATTATATGGGGATTATATTTTTGGTATTTATTCGAATCCAGACATCATTTTTCTTGTGTTTTATCTTCCAAGTCTTAACGCATAATACCACACTTATTTCCTTGGCTACTTTTATAAAGTTTTATTTATTTATTTATTTTTTAAAGGATGACCGGTAAGGGGATCTCAACCCTTGGCCTGGTGTTGTTAGCACCACGCTCAGCCAGTGAGCAAACCGGCCATCCCTATATAGGATCCGAACCCGTGGCCTTGGTGTTATCAGCACCGCACTCTACCGAGTGAGCCACGGGCTGGCCTTATAAAGTTTTAAAAAATGTAATGTTTGCTATATGTCCCCTGAGTTTCTACTGCTGGAAATCATGTGTATCTGTTTTATTGTGTTTTGTTTTCAACATAACACAGGCTACCTTCATTAAGGAGGGCAATGGGTATATGAGAATATGTTTGAATTTATGTATTGCTGTATTTGCCAGCAAGGACCTAGACTTGCCACTGTCAAGAACTAAAGTTGTGTGTGTTTATTATATGTATATTAGATTATATGTGTGTGTAGTTTTAAGTTTAAGCAGATTCAATTAGAATTTCCATTGGCCATTTCATTGCAGTGTACCTTTCTGGCGATCATGTTTTGATTGTTTTTAAATGTATTATTCTAATAGAAATAGATCAGAACAAATGATATTCAAGAATAGGGATCATGAAGTAGTGCGTATTTATATGAAGAATGTATTTTTTTATTTTACTAGGACATTCTTTTAAGGTCTTTAAGTACTAAAAGAAAATCCTTAATGTAGGAATGCTTTTTTTTTTTTTACCTTATGGCTTAGCAAAAGCTAAGTATATTCTTTTGTTAATTATAGTTTTCTAGTCTACCAGGAGTTTTCTTTATGTATAATATTTTTTGCTTTACTATCTGATCCCATTTTTAGAAGTCTTTAGAAATGTATTTACTAAAACTTCTACTTGTCTGGGTAAATCATCCAATTTTATGTGAATCAAATTAGAGATTGTATTTTTATAAAGGACTTTTGAAAATAGTAACATTTTGTTTAAGGATCTGCTATTATTTGTGATGTATTTCCTGCCTTTTTTAGTGGATGATGCTGGCAAAATAGAACATGATGGTTCCTCTGGAATTACCATGGATGCAGAGTCTGAAATTGATCCTTGTAAAGTGGATGGCACTTGCCCCGAGGTCATCAAAGTGTACATTTTTAAAGCTGACCCTGGAGAGGATGACTTGGGTAAGAGGAAGCCTTCAGCACGTTATACATCCTGATCCAAACTCTTCAACCGATTACTTTTAGGTTATTTAGATTGAGAACATTTGAAATCTTTTTTGAAGATAACTTTTAATCAAGAATTTCATTGTAAAAATAGAAAAATATGTAAAAAGGTATGTGAGAAGAAACAGGTGGAAATGAGGTTTTTAAATAAATTCTTGGAGCTGTCCTCTTCCCTGATAGGTGGGACTGTAGACATTGTGGAGAGTGAGCCTGAAAATGATCATGGAGTTGAACTACTTGATCAGAACAGCAGTATTCGTGTTCCCAGGGAAAAGATGGTTTATATGACTGTCAATGACTCTCAGCAAGAAGATGAAGATTTAAGTAAGTAGGTGGCCTTTTTGTGGGAGAAAATTTTAAGTTTCTGGAGCTTTTTTTTCTAATGGCCAGTATATGAAGAAAACAAGTAGCATTATTTTAGAGATATTATGCTGTCATATTCCAAGGGAAACATCAGTGATTCTTTATGGATGCTTAGAATGTTTCTTTAAAACCAAATTATAGATCTCCATACCAGCCAGCTGCCAAAAAAACAAACCAAGAAAAAGAAACATTATGGTGAAAGCCAAGAAATGAATGATTCATTCAACAAATATTTATTGAGTGCTTACTATGTGAAAGCTCTATTCTAAGTGTGTAATATTTGGACCATCTTTTCTGTTTCTCTATTAACTGAATTCAAATAAAAGTTTCTTTCCTGTGATTACCATAAACCTGGCCACAAAAGTTTGTATAACTTTTTACTCAGATGTTGCTGAAATTGCTGATGAAGTTTATATGGAAGTGATCGTAGGGGAGGAGGATGCTGCAGCAGCAGCAGCAGCCGCTGCCGTGCATGAGCAACAACTAGACGACAATGAAATCAAAACCTTCATGCCGATCGCGTGGGCGGCAGCTTACGGTAAGTCACATAGCAGCTCTTAGCATTGATTGAGTTGATTTTTGAACATGAATTCACGATTGAGACATGGTTTCTGGGGTTTTAGGTTTCAGAAATCTGAAATACCAGTACCCTATAAGGATTATTTGATTTAAGCAAGAGTAGAGGAAGATTATAAAGTGTACTTTTTGTCTTTTATTTTTAACAGGAATTTCCTTCATGTGTATATTACGTAGAAAGAAATACTACAAGAAGTACACAGGCTTTCAAGCTGAAACTTTTCATCTTGATTATATCTGGCCCATGACTTTACAATTTGGGAGATAACAAGGGAGTCTATGGGGCAAAATGCTGAACATGTGTTTTAGCTTTGGAAGCTAGGCATTTTCTATGGTCTCATTATAATAAATGTGCTCATAAAATCCATTACCTAGAATGGGGAGTTTCTGTCATTCATGAGTATCATGGCTTACTTGTCATTGTTGTAGTTAATAAAGAATTCCTAATTCCTTATAATTTATAATACTGTATAATTTTGTTTTTTAATGCACATTGTTAGGTAATAATTCTGATGGAATTGAAAACCGGAATGGCACTGCAAGTGCCCTCTTGCACATAGATGAGTCTGCTGGCCTCGGCAGACTGGCTAAACAAAAACCAAAGAAAAGGAGAAGACCTGATTCCAGGCAGTACCAAACAGGTGAGGGCACACAAGTTCCATGGCACAGAGTGCTCTGCGAGCTCTCAGATAAACCTCTAGTATGTATCCACAGGGGTGTTGTGATGGCATTTGAGCTCCTAGACCACATGTAGCTTTTGTGTATTGAATTTGAAAATATAATTTTCAGAATTCAGTGATATTCATGAATGATTTCCTTGGATAGAAAGAAACAGGAAATGGTTCAAACATAGATGGGAAGAATTCAAAACTCAGATGATTTTTATGTGGAAATGAAATCCCTCAAATATGTTAACAAGCATCAACTTTTTAAAAAATAAATATATTTAAAGAATCTAATTATGTCAGCATATAGCTGGCATAATTTGCAGAGCAGCAGGATAAGTACTTCAGCTCATATGACATTCCTGTCTATTCTTGTATACCAATGTGCATATTAAAGTTTTATGGCTATATTTAAGCTTTACTGTAAATTAACATAAATTATGGTTTTTGGAATAACCAAAGAAGAGATTTTGATTACGAAACTTTATTTTTATGAAAAATTTCCCACCAAATTCTAAATTGATATGGCTTTAATTGCTAGTTGATAGAAGTTACATATTTATTCATTAATTTTGTTAAACTGGAGGGAGTGAGGTTGATACAGTCCTACTGAAGTTTCCAGACCAGGTTCTCTTTATGACTAGGTTGCTATGTCTCTTATGTTACATGATGGTAAAAGGAATGTTTAGCAGTGAATAGCCTAAGTTAGGAGTCCTTGACCAATACTGTTCAGAACAGAAACTTTAAATTCTTAAACCAAAACAGAATTTGGTTTGATCATGCTTCCTTCTTTTCCTTTCTTAGCAATAATTATTGGCCCTGATGGACATCCCTTGACTGTCTATCCTTGCATGATTTGTGGGAAGAAGTTTAAGTCGAGAGGTTTTTTGAAAAGGCACATGAAAAACCATCCTGAACACCTTACCAAGAAAAAGTACCGCTGTACTGACTGTGATTACACTACCAACAAGAAGATAAGTTTACACAACCACCTGGAGAGCCACAAGCTGACCAGCAAAGCAGAGAAGGCCATTGAATGCGATGAGTGTGGGAAACATTTCTCTCATGCTGGGGCTTTGTTTACTCACAAAATGGTGCATAAGGAAAAAGGAGCCAACAAAATGCACAAGTGTAAATTCTGTGAATATGAGACAGCTGAACAAGGGTTATTGAATCGCCACCTTTTGGCGGTCCACAGCAAGAACTTTCCTCATATTTGTGTGGAGTGCGGTAAAGGTTTCCGTCACCCATCAGAGCTCAAAAAGCACATGCGAATCCATACTGGGGAGAAGCCGTACCAATGCCAGTACTGCGAATATAGGTCTGCAGACTCTTCTAACTTGAAAACGCATGTGAAAACTAAGCATAGTAAAGAGATGCCATTCAAGTGTGACATTTGTCTTCTGACTTTCTCGGATACCAAAGAGGTGCAGCAACATGCTCTTATCCACCAAGAAAGCAAAACACACCAGTGTTTGCATTGCGACCACAAGAGTTCGAACTCAAGTGATTTGAAACGACACATAATTTCAGTTCACACGAAGGACTACCCCCATAAGTGTGACATGTGTGATAAAGGCTTTCACAGGCCTTCAGAACTCAAGAAACACGTGGCTGCCCACAAGGGTAAAAAAATGCACCAGTGTAGACATTGTGACTTTAAGATTGCAGATCCGTTTGTTCTAAGTCGCCATATTCTCTCGGTTCACACGAAGGATCTTCCGTTTAGGTGTAAGAGATGTAGAAAGGGATTTAGGCAACAGAATGAGCTTAAAAAGCATATGAAGACACACAGTGGCAGGAAAGTGTATCAGTGTGAGTACTGTGAGTATAGCACTACAGATGCCTCAGGCTTTAAACGGCACGTTATTTCCATTCATACGAAAGACTATCCCCACCGGTGTGAGTACTGCAAGAAAGGGTTCCGAAGACCTTCAGAAAAGAACCAGCACATAATGCGACATCATAAAGAAGTTGGCCTGCCCTAACAATACTTCTACAGACATTTGTAGAGATATTGGCCTTGAAACAGAAAATTCATTTTAAAGCCAAACAATCTTGTTCACATACAATACTGTATATTGATTTATGCTGTGTACAAATAGAATTATTGCTTCTAGTTGATTTTTATTTTACATTTTGTTCAATAGTGTGTTCTGAATTCTATTCAGTTTGTTTAACAAATGGGGAAAAGCAGCAACAAGCTAGTTGCTTTTAATGAAGTAATCCCTGATTCTATATTGAATTTTTCTGTCTTAGAAGTTTTATATTTATTTAAACATTTACCTTGCTTACGTTGATGGTACTCTTCTAAGACCATTTAACTTAAGGTAACTTTAGATTGGTAACTCTGAAAATATTCATGTTGGCTCATTTTTTTTTTTTCCCTTTGAATTTCTCACATTGAAATTGTCAGAGACATTCTACTATTATGAATGGGAGATTTTTTGGTCAGGTCTAATTATCATAACATGGAAGTCATTTACTTGTCTTGCTTAATATTTTCAGACCTGGAAATTTATAATAAATTTATAGTATTTTCACAAGACAGCGAAAGTTTCCATTTGACCTTTTGCGTCCCTGGCATCACTGAGTAAAGAGCAGTGGCTGGGTTCGTCTTTTCATTTTGTTCAGCAGACAAAATACACTTCTTTTGGCTTTCTTTGGACTATTTACATCTTTTGTCAGCATAGCAAGCTTTTAGAAAACCTTCCTGAAAATTTTTGCTTGATCCTGTTGTATTTTGATTATTCTGTCTGTGCTGCTTTGTCTTGGAATGGTTATGTGCTGCAAATGAGACTTACTGAGGACTGCATTTTGGAATCTCCTAGAGGTAACTTGTGGCTCATAGGATCTTTTGCAACTTTATATATGTAAATGTACCCTGAATTATATATACGCATATATATAAACATGTATCTGTGTGTATTGCTTATTTTACATATTTATACACACAACCCCAAGTAGTAGTTGTTTAAAATCTATAATGAAAAGTATTAAATTTACAGTAACATGGAAGATCCAGGGATGCATGAGAGCATTTTGTAAGTCATGCTCGTCAGAGAGACTACTCAGGTGAAGAATTAGAAGGAAAATAAGGACACTAGTATTTTTAAAGAGTAAAGGTATTTTCTTTTAAATATCTTTAGTAACTGAAAAATAGAAGCTAAGATGTTTCTAGATAGAATGTTTTCATACACTTTCAGCTCCATGCCTTTATATTTTTCTGAAAAGCTAATGAGTATCCAGACGCGACTCCTTCAGTTCTCTCTGAGAAGCCAGAGAGAGAACTGTGTCTCACAGTGAGGGGACAGAGAGGAAGCAATGGCTCTGTGGACCAGAATGGGTGCTAATTCTTACTTACGCTTGGCAAGTTCAGCCTGCTCTGTTATTTCTTAGACAGGTAATAGTTAGCAAACGTTAACATCAAGTTGGCTTTGATTAGAAGATAAAAGTGTGTTTTAAGTGCGTAAGGAAAGTCTGAGGCCTTATTTGGAACATGCCAAGTCTTTCACAGTTTTTTTTTTCTTTGAGAGTTGGCATTTTGTAACAAATAGGTCTGAGTCAGTCATAAATTTGTAAACTGAACTTGGTTAATTAGAATTTGGTTGTGTTAAGATGGATCTTGGTGAACAGAAAACAGTTTTGAGGGTCCCTTAAATTGCCTATTGGCATATATGTATCTGGCATGTCATGGGAGATTTAGAAATTTTCTTCCCACTCGATAGCTGCCTTGCCACCTCATTATGGTGCTCCATTCCCTTCGTGCCGTTAGGTTTTTACCTTTCATCTTTCTCTTTTCCATTGATGTTTGTATTCAAGAGTTATATTTATAGGGTTAGAAATCTAAATATTTGGTGTTAGGCAAGCCTCTGAAGTGCTAGATTGATTTAGTTTAGTTCTAAATCAAGTGCTTTAGGCTGGCCTGAACTCCAACCTGAATGCCAGTTAAAGCCAAGGCATGGGTTTTCCTAGCCAGTCCCTTGGAATTCCTGTACCCTTTTAGCCCCCATAACGTGCTTTTTAAAAAACATTGATATACAACTGTGTGATTCTTTGCCCTGCTATTCTTGAAAGCTCTGCCTGTTTTTTTGTGAGAACCTTAAAAATCTCCCTTAATTTTTATTTTTCTTAGAAATGATGTAAAACACTTAAGTGAAAGTGGAAATTTATTGATTTTAAAAGTCCTGTAAAATTAATACAGAAAATATAAGTGATTGGATCATTTAATTATATTTTTTTAAATAAACTGAAAGATAAAGAACACAACACTTTACATACTTTATATTTCTCTTACATAATCTGGAATCATACACAGTTCTTTTTAAAGCACAATATTGAAACCTTTAAAAGGTATTTAAGGGTTTGGTCAAGTCAATATGATAAAACGTATTTGTCTGTATAAAGAAAATGAAACTGTAGTCACTGTTATGTACTGACATTAGTTACAACCTAGTTTTAATTCTTAAAACAATTTTGATTAGCAAAGCTAAAATAAAATGGGTGTTTCAGTTAAATGTTTTAAAGAGGTACAGATTTTTACAAGGACATAATATAAATTATTGTTCTGTAGAAATATCCTATTAAATATTGTATGTCCCTCCCTCTGTACACTTTGTAAAAAAAAAAGTAAAATACATAAAAAGAAAATCATATAGGGATGTGTGACATTATTGTAATTGTGTACTTGAGAATAATGTGCAAAAATAAAAATCAGAATATTTTCCTGTTAATGTTTAGTCTATTTGATACCAGTACTAAGTTAATGCTTTTTCTTAAGAAAAAAAAAAATGTACAGTTTTTGTAACCTAATAAACATCAAAAGCAGTGGATTATTTTCATTCCCCCATTTCTTAATTCCTTTTATGCAGCAGTGGAATGCAAAATGCTTGATTGCTTTGAATTTTGTGACTTGGATGCAAATACTGATAATATTTCAGTCCTGTGAATTTACAAGTAATATTTCAGAGAAGTTAAGAGGTGATTGGTGAGTCCTTTGATGAGCATGTCCTTGAAATTCATTTTTTTCTTTTATCTTCATAAAGGATTTGTTTTATTAGCATCTTCAGTTCCCTTGAGATAAATTACCCATGCATAAAGTGGTTTTTGAGAGCACTTAAAGTTCATTTCGGTATCAATTCACAGCACGTTTAATCAGTGGGGACTGTCACCACCTCCACTGCAGAAGCCCTACCCTCAAGTTACCCCTTTGTGCCCAGTTTGGAGGGCTCTAGTAGATGCTAACATAGTAGAAAATGATCATTGTCATAGTAAAAATCAGAAGTTAGGTGAAAGTTACCAGGAGTCAAAAGAGAGAGAATCACACCATCTTTGATTTTGAAGATGAGACTGCAGTTCTTCAGCTGGAGGAGCAAGGGTTTGCCTAATAGTTGAAACAGTAAATAATCAGAACTTGAGATAAAGATAAGAACATGGTGAATGTCACTGTCTGGACCCATCTAGAAACAGAGCCATAGCATGCTGCAAAATTTAATTGTAACAGGATGCCTGACAAATGACATCTAACCAGTCTGTGATCCCAAACAGTCAGATAACGTGCTACTTAAACTTCTCTAGGTATCTCAGTATTAACAATTTCCTTTATTTCCCACAAACTGTAGGATTCGTGTAAGGAAAAGCACGACCAATCAATATCTTAAAGGGATGATATTTCAGAGCAGTGGTTTTCAAAATGTGGCCTGGCAGCATCGTAATTACCTGGGGCTTTCTTAAAGATACGAATTCTCAGCCCCACCCCAGTCCACTGAATTGGGAAACGGGGTGTGGGATACAGTGTTCTGTGTTTGAACATGTTCTCCACGTAACTCTGGTGCATGCTCAAGTTTGAGAAACACTTTTAGAGCACTTAAGGAACTTCAAAGATTACTGGTGCAACATTTTGTGTGATAGATGAGAAAATCACAAAAAGCCAGAACTAAGCAGTGGAGGTAAAATAGGACTCAGTGCAAACCTTCGGTTTATGCTTTTTAAAGTGCGAGCCTGGTAGTCAATAAGTATATCTTTTAATGCCTCCCATAGTTACATTCCTCAAAGGTAAATACTAGAATCAAAGGAAGATTCGGCAAGTAAAAGAGGGGTGTGTGTGTGTGTGTGTTTGATTGGCCCAGGCTTACTTAAGGAATTCGTATCCAAAAAAAACATTTTTCCACATTCTGCAACTGTTTAGAAAAGGTCAAAATTAAGTTTGCCTTATGGATTTATTTTATCTTTTGTTTCATGTATACATTGTTTGCCTTTTTCATAAAATAATTCTTGGATTTGTTATGTATTCCTGTTATTTCTGACATCTTTGCTATTGTAAATAAATTCCTATTTTATTTTAAGTTACCCTAGTGGAGTATTGGCTATAGACAAGGCATACACGCACATGCACACTCACACACACATGGAAATCAGGAGACTTAAATCACACAGTTAATAAACTCCTAACTTGCTACAAGGTGGAAGTAGTGTGACCCCTTTGGTAGTTTAGCACTTCTAGCACCGAGGAACACATCACTGTTGCATATAGGTACAGCACCTGTACCTACTTGCGTTTTAAATCATTTTCTGACTTCCGAAATGAAAATACTTAGTCCATCAAGTTTGAGGTCAAAATCAAGAATTATTTTTCTCTACTTGGCTTTTCCTATTCAATTGGTCTCCTGTGTTACTTAGATTTGCTAGTATTGGTGAACACAAAAGATTTGGCATTGTAGTGACCTGCTAACAGCTACCTGTTAATTGCAAAGCCACTAGAATACTTTGGTGCTGAGAACCTGCTTAGGAATTCTAGATGGCATTTAGCTAATGAACTACCACAGAAATATCTAAACATGTTGACTGGAATTATAGAATAGTTAACTAGACCTATATCATTCTGCTTTCCAAGATAGGCCTGTTTGTGTTTGTCCTTTATGCTTGTGTTTAGCTTTAAATACAGAACCCACTTCCTTTGCCTGAGATTCTTCGAAATAAGGGGAGGTATTGCAAAGCCATCTGTTGGGGTGTTGGAGGTTCTAATCATACCTGTTCTCCACTCTGGGTTCTAATCACACTGAAAATAGACACAAGAAACCACCAGTTCAGTAAAGATGGATTGGGAGACCCAGAGGCTGAGATGGATCTACCTTCAATCTATTTCTTCCCGATCTCAGCCTTGGCTGGTGCAGCCAGTCACTCGGAAGTCCTCGGGCCCATTGTCCACTCCTCCACGAGGCAGAGAGACTAGTTGGTCCACTGGAGAAATAGAGCATCCTCTAAAGCCCTGCCAGGCTGGGACACAGGGAATGGGGAGGGAGTTCCCTTATATCATCCTAATAAAATAAAGGTTATTCCAATTCTAGGTTGCCCTCTGGCATTAAGCACACCAGTGAAATGTGAGGTTTTCCCCTTTAGCCTTGTATATTTGTGTCTATTTCCCCCCTATTGCTTTTTACTGCTCCCTCTTGAAGTGGTGATTGTGATAGACTTTTAAAGGTTTAGTTCTTGTTTTTCTCAAGTCAGCATGCTTTAATTGTCCTTCCACAAAACAATTTTTAAAGGACAAATTTACTTACTTTACAAACATGGAAATCTTGCAACTTGTTTTTATTCCATGCTTTTGTAACAAAAATTGGAAAATGTTCACCCACATTGCCACCTTCTTTATCAAAGGTGTTATCTTTGTTCTCTTCCAATCTTAATCCATACACATAAATCTTTTATCGTTGTGTAACTACAGCATCGATTCTATTCTGGATTCAGTGATTTTCTTTTCAAACATCAAGTGTATTTCTATATCTATCAGTTGACATTAAACATTTTTTATGCACATTTAAAAAATTTCTATTTTATCAA